AATTCTTGATTATATTACAGATGTAAACAAATAAATCGCATAAAAATAGAATCATAAAAATTATATTTTACGTAAATCAGTTAAAACAAAAATAAAACAATAATAAAATATAGGGAATCTAAATTTAAAACAATGTATCTATATCACAGTTGTAAAAGATATTTACAACCAATTAGTAGAGGTGTCGAAGAATAAACAATGGCAATAAAATGTAGACTACCAATTTGTGTTTTATTGGCAAGAGCAATATTTAGGTCATACATCTTTCGAAAACAATCACACGTAGTCCAATTCAAGTCAGAACATCTACAAAATTCATTAACTGGCAAAAAATAAATCTAACCTACTTGATATATAGTGGGAAAAACATGTGTTCGTATTAATTATTTAGTCATTAGCCTTTTTGTCTCCGGTGCATAAATATCAAAACGAATATATGCTTCAATATCAAATACGTTCTAAATCAAGGCTCAGCTTTCCATATACAGAAATCCATACTTGTACATGTCCATAAACAAAATGAGTATATGTATGTATGTATGTATGTATGTATGTATGTATGTATGTATATATATTATATATTATATATATATATATTATATATATATATATATATATATATATATTATTGTGGGTGTGTGTGTGTGTGTGTGTGTGTGTGTGTGTGTGTGTGTGTGTGTGTGTGTGTGTGTGTGTGTGTGTGTGTATATGTATATGTATATGTATATGTATATGTATGTATATGTATATGTATATTGTATATATATTAATATATATATATATATATATATATAATATATGAACTTATAAAAGTATTCGTATAAAGACACATATAGCCATTCTAAAACAATGGAAAAGAAGACAAAAAAATATACGCCTCTAGCAACTTGACTTTCGACCTAATAACATGGACCGTAACACACACGTGCAAAAACAGGCAGAGAGACCAACATACAATAGTACACAAATTATACCATTTCCATTACAATGCGTGTACGATATTACTCGAAGAAAACAGTACTGTCACATTATGAAAGATTAACCATAGTCTACATAGTCACATACACAAACCAAAATCCAGGACTGTGAAAGCAATAATTCCATGTACTTTTTCTTTATTAAGGATCTCAGAATAATTAACCTAAGTAATGGCTGCCTTGTGTATCTCTGAAATATTAAAAAGCGTTTATCTAGATTTACTTTTCAAAAGATGGTCCCCAAACGTGCTACTAAGAAATGAATGTCGTTGCTTGGAGAATCGCCATTTATTATAATGCTAAAAATATTCTTCCTATTACACCAACAGAACATACGACTACATGCTATCAAATTAAGCCAAGGCAGACCTAATGCATAACGAGAATGGAGAGTAGGAAAGAGGAAGGAAGGGAGGGAGAGAGGGAGAGAGGGGAAGGGAGGAGGGGGAGAGGGGGAGAGGGGGGGGGAGGGGGAGAGGAGAGAGAGAGAGAGAGAGAGAGAGAGAGGAGAGAGAGAGAGATAGAGAGAGAGAGAGAGAGAGAAGGGAGATAGGAGAGAAGAGGGAAGAAGGGAGAGGAAGGAGGTAGCGAAGAGGAATAGGAGGGGAAAAAGAGGAAGAGGAAGGAAGGGAGGGACGAGGGAGAGCGAGGGAGAGGGAGAGGGAGAGAGGGAGAGAGAGGAGAGAGGGAGAGAGAGAGAGAGAGAGGAGAGAGAGAGAGAGAGAGAGAGAGAGAGAGAGAGAGAGAGAGAGAGAGAAGGAGAGGAGAGGAGAGGGAGAGGGAGAGGAGAGAGGGGAGAGGGAGAGGAGAGGAGAGGGAGAGAGGGGAGGGAGGGAGGAGGGAGAGAGAGAGAGAGAGAGAGAGAGAGAGAGAGAGAGAGAGAGAGAGAGAGAGAGAGAGAGGGAGAGAGAGGAGAGAGAGAGAGAGAGAGAGAGAGAGAAGAGAGGGAGGAGAGAGGGAGGGAGAGGAGAGGGAGAGGAGGAGAGGAGAGAGAAGAGAGAGAGAGAGAGAGAGAGAGAGAGAGAGAGAGAGAGAGAGAGAGAGAGAGAGAGAGAGAGAGAGAGAGAGAGAAGGAAGGAAGGTAGTATCGAAAGAGGGAATGAAGGAGGAAAAGAAGGAAAGAAGGGAATAGGAAATGAAGCAAGGATGTTTTTGTTCCCTTTCTTTCCCGAAAGGACACTGAAAAGGATCAGAAAGATGTTCGAAGTAGTTAAAACATTATACTTGATTGCGTGAATAAATTCTGCAACACGCCATTAACATTGCAAATTCTTTAAAGGAAAGCAGCATCTAAACAATAAAAAAAAACAATTTCGTACATAAAATAGCATCTACATAAAAGAAATGAATCAAAATATCAACCTTTTTTGTTGAGCCAAATGCTATAGCAAGTACCTCGAAAAAGTGGCATTTAACTTAGTCTGTTCCCCTTTCTTACCTTTTCCCATCTCCCTTTCGCAATTCTACCTATTTGTTAATTATGTTCCTCTTTTTCTTCATTATCATTAGTTCCATCACTCCCTTATCTTCAGCTATGTTCTATTCAGGGTTTTTCTTTTTTATTCTTATCAATATTCTTACACCCGATGTTCACTTTCATGTTCTCCACTTCCCCTATCACTTATCCCCTCCTGTTTTCCTCCTTCTTTGCTTCCACCCATCACTGCTTCGCAATCCCTCCCAGAACATTCTTCTCGCCCTGTTCTTGCTCCTGGCGTTCTTCCGTCTCCCCGTTCTTCGTTTCCCCCTGTTCTTGCTCCTGGCGTTCTTCCGTCTCCCTGTTCTCCGTTTCCCCCTGTTCTTGCTCCTGGCGTTCTTCCGTCTCCCTGTTCTTCGTTTCCCCCTGTTCTTGGCCCTGGCGTTCTCCCGTTTCCCCCTGTTCTTGGCCCTGGCGTTCTCCCTGTTCCTCCACCTGCCATGTTTCTTGCACTTGTACTCAACTGTAGCCTCCAAGGTTTCGTTCCAGTTCATTAAAGCTTGGCCAAGGTTCCTGTGAGGTTTTCCTGTGGTCGAGTCTCTGCCGGGGAAAATGAAGGGGTTATTTTTATTTGTTATCGTTATTATCGTTATTTACCATTGTTATTATTAGATATTTGAATGATTGGCTGGCCACTTAGAATGCGCTCCTTTTATATATCATCGTCATTATCATTATTTACCATTATTAATTATTTGATTAATAGATATTTGAATGATTGGGTAACCACTTGAAATACGCGAGAATATAATTTGAAGCAATCTAAAGGATGAGCTGGATATTTCAAAGAGTTTAAATGAAGGAAAGCTGATAATTGATAGATAATTAAAAGAAAAAGTTTCATAATTTGAAACAAATCTGAATCATAAGCTTATTACTTCAAAGAGGTGAAATTAAATAAATAAATAAAATAAAGATGATGATGGAAAGTGACACAGATGGGTAGTGGAATTAGGGAATTAATTTGTGTATCGTGAACCGGAGATCCTACCCCCAAAAAATTAACTAAACAATATATCCACGAACATCTAAAACAGTAATTTAAAAAATAATAAAATCTTACAGCATTCCGACATATTGTTTCAAGGCTCCACTATGCTAGCCTCCTTCACCGTTCCACTTGAAGCCGCCAATGCGTCGAAAATGCCATTCAGAATCCTACAGACATTCCTGCTGCTATCTTCCTGCAGTTCGGGTCGATCGAGTCCACAGAGGGCGTGTCTAAGGTCCCTCATCGTGTGCTTCCAAGGGCGAGAGGAGGACGTCGAGATCGGGACTTCGAGACTTGCGTTTTCCTTTCTCAGTTTTCTGTTGATTCTCTTTAGGGCAGGTGAGGTTCTTCCATCCATTCTCGCTTCCTTCTCTTCTCTTTCCATTTTTATATTTTTCCGTTTCATGCTTTCTTCTGCGCCAGGTTTTCGTTTATCTTCAATTCGTCCTTTCTCCTCTCCTTCTGGGCATCTTCCTTCCTCTTCTTTCTTGTCATTTGATCTTCGTTCTCTTATCTTTCTCTGATTCTTTATTTTCTCTCCTTTCTTCTCTTCTTCCCCTTCGTCTCGCCCTTTCCCCACCGCCGCTTCCACAAGAGGACACAACACGACGACCACTTCTCGACGAGGCAACGACTCCCTCCCCAGACGCTCCAGCTCGGACTTAAACAGCACCAGATCCTCGACGACCTTCGCCTCGTCCTCGCACGTCCTGGCAGACAGCGACCAGTCGTAACACCCGGCCGAGACGACCACGTACACCCTCTTCTCGCTCAACGCTTCCAACCTCAAGATCTTCTCCAGCAGGAGCAGAGACGAACTGCGGATCTGAGGGACAGTGGCTCGCATCGTCACGACCTGGACGACCTCCGGAAGGCTGTGTCCCTGCTCCGTCAGGTTCTCCCACGCCCCTGGGAGCACCGACAGCCGCTCGTCACTCACCACCAGGCGGAGTGTGTCGTCTGTTGGTGCGAAACAAAGGCTTTGGAAAGGTATTGATGAACTTTAAAATAAAATAAAATTAATACTGGAAAATAGCAATAACAGTAGTAATTTCCTATAATTAATCAAATCCCTCTGTTTCTTAAGCTCCTATGATATATTTAATGAATCCGTGGCATGTAGGATTTTGTCTCAACAATGGAACAAAAAATAAATAAAGAAATTCGAGATAGAAAAAGGCAAGGAGTCGAAACAGAAAGTTTAGGACAAACGCGAAAGAAAACAGAAAACTTGAATCATCCAAAAAGTTTTCATAATGGACAAAAGTTTGTGTTGGTACTCTGGTTTCTTACAGTTTGTGGGCGCTTTGTATCATTCTTTGATGGAGAGTTTCCCCGTCTCCGAACTTAAACTCAGTCACTGAAACTAATTACAGAGAAAGACAAACGCACTACATGACTGTGAGTGTGCCTGTGTTGGGGGCGATGGGTATGTGCTGGGGAATGTGTGTGAGGGTAAATGTGAATGTACACACACACACACACACACACATACAACACACACCACACACACACACAACACACACACACACACACACACACACACACACACACA